TATTTACAATCAACCTAGTGCCATAATGCCAAAGCAGTTTGAAATGAATATTAATTATCGTTCTCACAATGGGATCCTTAGACTTGCTTCATCAGTAATTGATCTCATCTCTCACTTTTTTCCTGAGTCAATTGACAAGCTGCCACGTGAGCATGGTGAAGTTGGTGGTCCTCGACCAATTGTTTTTGAAGGGTTTGATTCTAAAGCATTCTTTTTCCATGAGGATGAGAATGAGTCAAGTAATATTGAATTTGGTGCTAGTCAGGTCATTATTGTACGTGATGACAAAACTAAAGAGCATTTGAAGGAAAAAATTGGTGAAGAATTTGGATTGATATTGACTGTGTTTGAGTCCAAGGGCATGGAGTTTAATGATGTGTTCTTGTATAATTTTTTTGCTGATTCATTTGCACATTCAAATGAGAAAACTTCACCTACTGAAACCAATGTGGTGAGTTAACAATTTGTACATAATTCATAAAAAAATTAATTCGCTACAAAATTCTTTAACCAACAAATTTTATTAATCAATCTAGCCGAAGGTTTTAGTTGATTCAGAAGGTTATTCCATTCCGCCATCTTCCGATAAACCATGGGAAACCTTTTCATCAACCGACGGAAATGATTCGGATGCACGATCGGAAGACGCTTCAAGGTGAATATCGATTGTGCTAATTATTATTAATAATTTAATTTAATTCATTTATTGTTATTATTATTATTATATTATCATCATTATTATTATTATTATAACTGATGAAGATTTGCAATTTATTACAGTTCACTCTCAGCTCAAGAAAAAATGCGTGTAGAAATTAAACAATCTACTATAACAGAAGAAAATGAAGCAGATGCTGCCGCTCTCTCTTCGGTCGTCACAGCACTTAAATTGGTAAGATTATTTTATTTTTAAAAAACATTATTAAATAAATAAATATTTTATTTAGTATCTTATATTCAATCATTCTTGATAAATAGAGGCATAATCTAACAACACGTGGTAAAAGAGAGTAAGATTTAGCAAAAAAATTTCTTTTTTCCTCCTCTCACTCTAATCAAACATTTTCCTTTCTTATAAAGAAATGATAGTAATCATATTTACAATTAATTCCTCTACACAGTCAATGGAGAATGACTAATTCACAAAGCAGCGATAATATTTATGGCAATTATATTTCACCACAACGTACTAATTCAGTACCTATTAATGAATCAAATGGCTCAACACGACCCCTATCCGAATTCTCCTCAAATAATGTAAGCCATACAAAATTTGTCACAGAACCAGAAATTAAAAAATATGCACATCATGACAAATGTGGAAGGATCAACATTTATTATAAAAAGATGACCGCAACACTCTAATTCGGGTCAATAGTCAATCAAAAAAAGAAACTCAAAAGGGGTCGCCTGGTCGAATATGGTGATTAATGTTTATTGCTATATTAAAAAACTCAGTCTCCATATTCTTATTACAATATTACAATAATGAATAACACGAACACGAATTAATTCTTTTTAGTAAAAAATAAAATTGCCAAGAAAAAATCCCATTTATAAGTGCCATATTTTTTTATTTAGTAATAAATAATGTTTGAATTTTCTTTCATAATAAAAAAAATATCAATTCCGAGAAATGATTTCTTTAATATTAATACTACTATTTATATTAAATATAGTACCGGTCAAATCACAAAATTACGCAATTCCTGCACCTGATATAGCTGGCATACCAAGCGATTCTAGTATAACGTATCCAGATTATGAATACACAAAATTGCTTTCTTATTCTTTATATTTTTATGAAGCTCAGAGAAGTGGTAAATTACCTCCCAATAACAGAGTAACATGGTAATTAAAAAAAAAAGAATCTTTTAATGATTGATGCATTGATAGATTAATTAAATCAATTATTATTAATTAGGAGAAAAGATTCTGCGTTGACTGATGGTCAGGATGTTAAACTTGATCTCACTGGAGTAAGTATATCATATTTAATTATTAAAACGATATGTTGATTTTTATTATTTTGCAAGTTTTTAATTTAATCTTTAACATATAAATAATGATATAGGGATATTATGACGCTGGTATGTTTCATTATCAATTGATCTTAATTAACAATAAAAAAAAAATTATTTAGTAGTTAAAAGGTCATTATCATCGTCTTAAAAAATTTTAGGGGACTATTTGAAATTCACTTTACCATTATCCTGGACAATTACATCTTTATCATGGGGCGCATATGAATGGTTTGATGGATATCAACTTGCAAACCAAACTCAATACCTTCAAGATATGATTAGATGGGGAACAGATTGGCTAATAAAATCTCATCCTGACAATAACACTTTATACATTCAAATTGGATTGGGTGATGTAGACAATAATTACTGGGGACCTGATACAAAGTTAATTTAATTTATTAATGTTATTTTTTGGGTGGGATTTAAAAAAAATATTAAAGAATATTTGTATTATTTTATTTTAGTATTCCTTTACCGCGTCCATCATTTAATGTAAATTCTTCTGCTCATGGAACAGATGTTGTTGCCGAAACTGCAGCTGCGATGGCATCTGCCTCTATGTTATTCCGAGAAAAACTAAACGATACTACTTATGCTGATATTTTATTATCACATGCAAAGTCTTTATATGACTTTGCAGTAACAGCCCCATTAGTCAAATATCAAGATTCCGTTAGTGAGGCTAAGGACTTTTATTCATCTTCGGGATTTGGTGATGAATTAGTTTGGGCTTCACTTTGGTTATATCGAGCAACAAAGACTCAAGATTATATGAATAATGCTATAAATTATTTTGATACCTATTCCTTAGGTGGTTTAAATAAGGTTATTAATTGGGATGATAAAACTGGTGCCTGTTATGTGTTATTAGCTAAATTAACCCAAGAATCCAACCAAGATAGCAGTAGATGGACAAAAGAATCAGAAAGATATTTAGATGGTGTTGCAAGTGCATCAAATGGATGTAAATTTACAAAAGGTGGATTATACTTTTGTGATGGTGACAGCGATGCAGCATCTTTAAATCCTGCTCTCAACGCAGCTTTTGTGTCTTTATTGTATTCACCTTTAGCCACTTCCACTTCTAAATCTAATAAATATAATGATTTTGCCAATTCGCAAATTAATTATTTGTTGGGTAAAAATCCCTCAAAAATACCTTATGTCATTGGTGTCCACCCCAATTCACCTCAAAATCCTCATCATGCTGGTGCGCATGGCGGCAGTAACATAGGAAATTTGAATGATCCTCCTGTGACTCAACATATTTTATACGGTTGTATTGTTGGTGGACCTAAGAAAACAGATAAATTTGATGATGATCGAACTAAGTATGACGAAACTGAGGTATTATTATTATAATTATTGTTATTGTTATTGTTATTGTTATTATTATTATTTGGAAGAAATTAAATATTAAAATTATTTCTTTTGTAGGCTGCATTGGATTATAATGCACCATTTCAAAGTTTAATGGCTTATCAAGTAATTAATTCAAAAGAAGATCCATATTATGTTACTTTACCACCTGGCAGAGGAGTGGTTAAAGAAACATCAATGACAGTATTGATTGTTGTATTAGTTGTTGTATTTGTATTATTATTTTTAATTGTTGGTTTGATTATTTGGAAGAGAAAATCAATTTCAAAACTATATAAAAAACTTGTAAGGAAATTTAAAAAATAGATTAAAGATGATAATAATAATCATAATAATAATAATAAATAAATAATATTTATAACTAAATAAATTAAAACAAAGCGGCTAATAGTGATGCGCGAATTTTATAAACAATAACAGCGTGCCAAAGTATAAAAGAATTTTATACCAAGACATTTTCATCGTTTACAACCATTATCTATTACAACCATTGATTGGGAAAAAGAGAACTTGTATGCAGCTTCAATACAATTTAAAGTCGGATAACAACATTTAAAAATATTAATAAAATACCTTAATTTCCGATTCAATTGCTAAATATATTTTAGGTTCAATTAATGGAATCCTTTAAAGCAATTTCCAAAGGTGATCTAAAGACCAAAGATACCAATTACATCTTGTTTATTTAATAATAATGAACTTATCAATCAACCTCTCGATTAATTGTATTTAGCCAAATAATTTACCATTTAAGTGAATAATTTCCAATTGATTAACGATATTAAAAATAATCTTCAAGTTTGATGCGTGTTGTAAATCCAACAAATCCTTTGTCGCTCTGGCACAATTCTATACTATACTATGTTTATTATTATTAGTCAATAATATCATTATCTTCTTTATTATCATCCTCCATCTCTTTATTCTTTTTGACCCATTTCTTAATTGCTTCTATTGTTTTTTTCTAGGATTGATTTTTCGTTGATAGAAGTATGTGATAGCGGAAGCAATAATTCCAAGGTCACTAATTAGTGTACTTGGTTTATGTTTTATTTTTATTATTTCATTGATTTTTAGTCTATATTATATAGCTAGTCCTTATAAGTCCAATCAATAATCCATGAAAAATTTCGTTTGTATTTGTAAAAAGCATTTTTTGTCAAATTCGATGTGTTGAGCTTGGATTATGAGCATTTATCAAACAGTTATCCAAGGTTGATTATGGTGTTTGGCCACATATTCTCTAAAACCCATTATACAAAACTTTAGCTCATTTTGTTGTTGTTATATAATTAATTAAATTGACTTGATCCTTATTATATACATCTAGTGAGAAATGAGGCAAAACCACACAATGATAGCAAAGCATTCCACATCTAAAATATATTTTTTATTTTTTTTTGTTTTGAATTCAATCACATATTTAATAATATTGTTACAATATACTCCACATACACTATATTATTTCGAATAAAATAGATCAAGCAGGGTTGCAGAATTTCGCTGTACGAGAAGAATCTTTGTACGTACGATGTACGACTATACTTCGTACAATTGAGTTCGTTGTGGACGTATACCTGTACGAGAAACAATGGTTTACTGTAATGATAAAATATTATTTTGTAAAGTCCTATAATATTATTGTTATTGTCATTGTTATTGTTATTAAGCCGTTAACCCTATTACTATTTATTATAAATGGATTACTATATAGATGTTGTAACGGGTCGTAATACTACTTCATTATCAGGAAAATCCCTCTTTTTTATTTTATATTCTGTGGTACATTAAAAAGTAAATATCCCATGATTTCTAAATTTTTTTCCTTGAATAAAAAATTATCCTTTTTTAATTGAAATCATAATTACATTTTCAGCACTTAATCCTACAATTCTTTTATTCTGATGGTAAAGCTTCGAAAGATTACTAGGACCACTTTTTTTGTTTTGTTTCAATGATGTAATAAATTATTAAACTTGGTGAAAACAGGAATGAATTAAAAACGATAGTAGATAGAATTGAACACATACTGCAACATTTTAGTATACAGTAAAAAAGAAAAAAAAATTTATTTAATTAATAATTAACAATTTATTTAATTCTATTTCATCTCAATCATCTAGTTATGGAAGATGATGAACTTTATAACTTAGATGTCCAAAGTATTAATCATCCAGCAACAAGTTCTGGTGAAAAATGGATACTAAAAAACGATCTTTTTTTTAATTTATGAATGATGACGAATTAATGTATATTACATTTGATCAACCAATAAAAATTGGCATAAGTCACATGATATGTTCGTACAATGTACTAAAAAAATTTTAAGCTCGTACGTACGTGTACGAGTATCCCAACCCTGAAATAGATGTTAATTAAATCAATACTAATTCTATAAAAAACATTGAAAAATATAAAAATATGCTTATATATAAAAATAATTAATGTATAAAATAATTAACATAAATAAATAAATAAATAATAAATAAATAAACGAATAATTTATGAATATATTAAACAATCCTTTCCCACTTCTTGAATAACACACAATATACATATATATAATTCTAATATTATTAATATTATAAATTTTTTAGAATTCCAGGACAAAATTACTTTCATAAATTTGGCCAGTTCGTTTATTAATGGCCATTGCTTTAACTTCCATTGTACCGAAAGTTAAACTAAACTCTACTAAACGATTTTTGCCTTTTTGTGGATCTGGTAAATCGATTTTCATCTTACCAAGCATCCTCATTCCATCTTCATCGCAATATCTTGCATTATTATCGGTTGTAATGAAAATATTAAATGTCATGTCTATTTGATTGGTAGCTACTGGCGCTGCTGTATAGGAAAACTTTTGGTCAACCGATACTTCTGTGCCACGGAAAGCCAATTTATGAAACCTGAAAATACGTCCCGTTGGAGTTTTACGTTCTGGTGGATCATTTTTTTCCCATTTGGCACTGACTTCAACTCCATAACAAAATTTCAGAACCCTAGTTTGAACTACTCCCATATTAAGCCCGTATTCTAATGATCCTCTTACCACTGCTGCAATAGGATGCTTTGGTACAGCAATTATTGTCACCTATTAACATGAATATATATATATACATATTCATTTAATATTTTTATCATAACAAACATATAATTATGTATAAATGAAGACAAAGAAATTTACCATATTCATGAAATTTCTACGAATTTGATATTGTAAATAAAGACTTTCACTAAAACCTCCAACCAAAAACATTGCCATACATCTTCGTTCCATCTGACCTAATTGTCGACGGATTAATTCAATAATCTTATTTACCACAGGATCAAACATATCCTTTATGACTTGAAATTCCAATTCAATCAACCACTCAGCTTCCTCCATCTGATCCCGTGCATTACCGGTAACATATTTCATAAGTGCTGGACAAACTTTTTCTATATCAATCTCTTTTGTGGTAAACCCATTCGGGTTTCCAGAAAATGTAAATTTAACTCTGTTGCAAAAATATTGTACTAAATATTGAAGTTGTCCATAATTGTTTTCCTTGAGTTTTTTCATTGCAGCAAACCCTAACTTTTTCCCAAGGTACTTTAAAAATTCCCTGTCAACATAGGATGACCCACACAAATCACCACTCCTTTCAGTGATCTCCCCAAGTTTATTTTGGGGTAACAATGTCCTTGTAGTCAAATCTACCGTACCACCACCACAATCTACTATCATGAATGATGCTGTAATAATAATAATAATATAATTAGATATTTATAAGTAATTAAGCTATTAAACAAATATTAAACTTACATCCTACTGCTAGATTATGTTCAGCTAAAGTTTTTATACAATATATAGCAGCTGCTTCCGCTACAAAAAATAAATATATAAATATCGGTTAAATACTATTGTCACATATATATAATATGAATTATTTACAATGATTATGACTTTTTTCATCTTCTAATATAAAACTATAAATATATAACTTACGTTCTGTAGTGAATTCTAAATTATCTGATTGCCTGGCTTCTAAATAACCAGCATTGTACATACACTCTCTCATGACAGCTCTTGCGTCATGACCCCTATTTAAATATTAATTAATGATTATTTTAGGTTGGATGGAGTTGTATAATATATATTTATATTTTAGGTGAATTAAACCCTCCCCCCTAATTTACCATTCAGCAGGAACTGATATAACAAATCTTACTTGTTGAGGATATTTCATACCTATTTAAATAAAATTTAAATAAAAAATGAGGTTAATATAATTATATGCAAGTATAAATAAATAAATAAATATATTAATGGTTGATTGATTGATTACCAGGCCATCGAGTACTTAAAACTTGTGCAATTAACTACATAAATATATATAAATATACATATAACAGATTTAAAAAAAAAAAAATTTAATAATCAATATAGTAATTCGAAATTTTACTCACTTTATTCATTTCATGTAAATAATCTGTAATAGCCCTTCTAGAATCTAGGCCCAGGGGAAGTGGGGGTTTTTCGTCCTCCTTTACATTAGCTAAATGGAGTTTAAATAATTCCACCGGCCTTGATTGAGTTTGATTTCTCTTTGATCTTTTTGAGGGTTCTTCTGCCAATGCTGGATACCCCCACGCCAATAACTTGAGACTGTCATCGTATGATAACACTGTGTTTGTTTTAAATACTCCCGTTTGTGATGGCCTATTTCAATTATTATTAATTATTGTCATATTATTTAAATTTTTTAATTATTCATGCTAGTAGTTTGATTATTTTATTTCTCCCAAGATAGTTAAAAAAAAATTATTTTCATACCACTAGGAAGTTTGAAAGAAAAAAATTTTATGAATATATATTTATTTTTTTTTCGAAATTAAATGTATATATAAATAAATACATACTGTATCGTTAGTTATTATTTCTGGATTTACTCTACTTGAATATGCAAAACCTTTAAAATTGACCAATTTTTTATCGAAAAATATATATATTAAAATCTTTGAAAATGAAAACAAAACATCAATTATTTATTTTGTTAAAAAAAAAAATCCCATACCACTAAATGTTGTGCCAAAATCTGAATAAGGTTTATGAAATAAAAAAAGATTTTATTATTTTATTATTTTATTGATATTTTTTTATTTTTTTTTCAAAAAATTTTTTTAAAAAACAACTAACCGAGTGCAACAACAGCTCTAATATCTCTCATTGCCATATTTTTAATTTCCAATGTTATTTTTATTTTTTTTAAACGTGAATATTGAGATGTAAAGAAGGTAGGTATATAAATTAAAAGAAAATAAAAATAAAAATTTAGGAATAAAATGGAAATTCTCAATTTGGTTAAAATAAAATTTTCTACACAGTTCACGTGTTTCCATTATCTTCCCAAAAAAAGAATTATTTGTACAGTGCAAGTCACTTAGTCCCACAACTTTTTATTGGTCATGTAGATTTTCAAATTCTCCAAAAATATAAATACAACACCCCAAAAATAAATCGTGTATTTGAAGCCAAGACCTTCCTCTACAAAATCACGATTTCATTTCATTGATATGTCATGTTGTTGTGGAGGATTTGAGCTTTAAAGTTGCACAAAGTTTACCGAATTTACTATTCTTGGCCCTAAAATGGCCAGTTACACACAAAAAAGTTAATATCAAAAATAGACGAATTGAAACAAAATAAAAATTTGAAAAATTTATCTTATATCGCAGATTTTTGTCACGTGAATTTTCCAGATGAACGGAAGATAATTTATAATTAATCTTTGAAAATCATGTGACCATAAAATTTTTTCTCAAAATTAGCCGCTGTGGCGCAGAAAGTTGTGGGACTAAGTGACTTGCACTATAACAGTCTGTTAGAATTTATACAAATATCTGAAATAACAAGCATTCAAATAATTACGAGTATCCAAAATAATTATGCGTATCCGAAATAATATTCGAATATGGGCGTGTGTAACAAACAATTAATATTACTCTTTAACAGTTAAATAGTTTATTTGATTACTTTTAAATTTTCTGTCAAATTAATTGATAAAGAATTAGATAAATTATTAATATATAAATGAAAAAAAAAATTTGCAAGAACAACTTCAACATCAAAAAAAATTCAACATCATCAAACTCTAGCATTTGATTTATCGCGATAGGATTTTAGCACTCTTTAACACTTCAAATTTCAAACTTACAAAAGCATGTCCAACATACTATCTAAAGTCATTCTACATACCAATATTGACTGGTAAATCTCATTTCAGACTCAGGCACTAAAGACAGTGTTAATATCGTTATAATTGACAAACAACAAATCATTTGCAATTAACTGACAAGAATAGCCCAAAAGTTAAGCCATACATGTTAAATAATTAAAAGGTTGCCTTGCAATCAATGTTGTGGCCCTAAACCCTTTTGGCTTCCCAAAACAGTTTCGGTAAAGCTGTCTAGTTTAGGTTTCGCGTTACAAAACCTAAACCTTACCAGAAACCTAAACCCATATCCGAAACTTAAACCTTACCCAAAACTTAAATCCGTATCTAAAACCTAACTACCTTCAAAATTCAAATCAATAGTTCCGCTTATTATTTATTTGGATTTGAGAAATGTAACTCAATTTATATTTCTATTTGTGTTCAGGGAGTGTTGTGACCAGAAACTCTTTTGGCTTCCGAAAATGAACTTACACTAAGCAGAAAACTAAAAACTAAAACTAAAACTAAGCATAAACTACTAACCTAAACTGGTTTCAGGTGGTTTCTGTTAGTTTCTGTTTCGGGTCTTCCCAAACTCAGAGTTTCGGGTCACAGCACTGGTTCAGGGCAATGAAAGTAATAGTGAATCCATTGATACAGGATCAGATATTGATCCTGAAAATTATGAATATTATGATAACCATAATAGAGATATTGATTTTCTAATAGAAGACTACATAGATTTAAATGATTATTTATTTAATTATGAAGGTAGTAACAAAAATGAAATTGATATAAGTGTAAAGGAATTTACCAGGGTTGGTAGCATAAAGGTGTTAAAAACCTAATTTAGTAATAATCTTCTTGACTAAACTTGACTAAACTTGACTTAACATATGACTATATAGTTTAGTCAGTTTAGCCAAGTGCTCATTTGAGTTACGCAAGCAGCCCTGGAATTTACATAATGAAAATTACGAATATAACCCCAATGATTTGGTTTCCAATTTTTTTTAATGTGATATGTGAAAATAATATTAATACTGCAAAAAGAAAAAAAAATAATTAATTATGAATGTGATACTGATGAGGAAGATTTGGATTATGATTCACATAGTTTAGGTTTTGATAATGAAGACAGAAATTGCAAATGGAAATAATAATGATGAAAATTCAAAATTCTGAAGAAATTAATTATGGTGGTGAAAAAATTAGTAATATTAATAGAAGGGAGGGTTGAAAATAACATTGGTTTATATGAAAGTAATGATGAAAGTTCAGATGATGATGGTGATATTGAATAAATGAAGATAAAAGAAAAAAAATATAAAAATGCACCAAAGAAAAAATTTACATTAAGGAAGAGAATTAAAAAAACTATAAAGATTAAAAAGTTTAAAAAATAAAAAACATTAGCAGTATAAGGCAATTAAATTACAGTCAGACTCCTATATAATCACAACATCGGGAATGCGAATTAGTGGTGATTATGACTGAATGTGACTATATAGGATTTCTCCTATATAATCACTTGCTATGTAATTTTAAAAATTTGGTGATTATAATAAATCTTTTATTTTATTTAACATCCCAAGTAGATAGATATATGTATAAAAAAATAAAAAAATATAATAATAATTTATATAAAAAACAACAACAATGGTTAGGCCACTTGCACTGACTTGTCCAATCCCATATGTTCTAAAGACTAGTGCCGTAATCCAAAAAAGGAAAAAGTATGGTTGCAAAAGTGGTCGCAAAGGTAATTGCAACCACTTTTTATATGCCGTAGATACAATTACTACCATCATCATAATTTACGGCACTAGTCTTTAATATGTTCATTGCTTTTTTCTAGTTCTGGAAACCTCACTTGTCTACAATAAAAAGTATTATGATGGGTTGTAGATGAAGCATCTAGCCATTTTTCTTTATCATGTAAAATTTTTGTTACTGATGACCTATCAATATTAAATGAAATTTTTCACTAAAATAATTTGCAATTTCTTGATGAGTTTTCTGAATGTTTTCTTGGTAATTTCTCTTTTCAATTGCTCACTAATAGCTGTCCATTTTTGTTTTTTTTTTGGTTGAGACATGATAATAACAATGATAGTACATATGTAAACTCGATAAGTCGGTCATGTTGGGGCAGACCCCTGCGACTGACTTATCGAATTTCACGTGATTTTTTAATTTATTAAAAAATGTTAACATTGAAAATATATAATATATATAATAATAAACATCGAAAATATATAATAATAAACATAATAATAATAAAACTATATCAAAAAAACTAAGGATTATTTCTATTATAAAGATTTTCTTCTAAAGTAGGTTGCTTTAGTGAAGCATTTTGTTTTCTTCTAATTTGTTGTTGTAAATCTCTCAATCCTGAGATTACTGAACTGTTAACTTTTTATATCGGAATTTTGTTGCAAATAATTAAATAGATTTTGGATGTTATTAATGGCAATTGTATTTGATATTCGAATACTCATCATACCTTCTGCTTCTTCCTCTTCTTCCTCTTCTGGAGCTTCTTGTACTGCAGATGATATAAAAATGAGATAAAAAAATATAGATGTATTGTTCGCAATTAGACAAGAATGTTCTCCGAATTATTTGAATG